GTCCCAGGCTCTCCTTGGTCGGAGGTGGCTGTTCCAGGAGCCCACAGCGTTGCTGTCAGTCCTAATAGTCTAAGACCTCCGGGGGAATGGGTGTTCTGGATAGAAAATTCCTTGCGTGTTTCAGTAATTAAGCACCCTTGGTGAGGACTTAGGGCCTTCAGTCACCTCCCAGACTATAGTAAATGCCGCCTGTCTTAAGGTCCAGCTCAATCAATCCATGCTTGACTCCAGCCCATCCCGGAAGGCTTCTGCGTGTAGAAGCATTGTGTCTCCTGCGTGGTGTTGAGAAACCATTCCTGGGGAAAGACGCTGTGCTCGGTAAAGCACAAGGGCCACGAAAGAGAGAAGACCCTCCCTGGGAGGGGCTGGCACTATGGCTGCTGAAGTAGGGGTCACACATAGGAACGGCGGTGAGGAGGTCAGGAGACTGGGCGTTGCGTCCTTCTGCCGTGCGCAGGGTCGCTGCGTGGGACCGTCGCGATGAACCTGACGCCACCACCACGGTGTTGAACCTGCGCAGGGTTGACAGAGTGTGCGTGTGTGCGTGGCCTGAAAATGAGGGTCAGTGTGGCCAGCGGGCATTTGAGAGACGTCCACCCCGGGCTGAGGACACAGGCTCATCTTGTTTGTGCTACCAGAGCCATAGAGGTGGGGGTGGGGGGAGAGCAACCCCCAGACCAGCGATTGGTGCCCGTCTCTCAGCATCAAGTCCCGCCCCGGCTCACCTGCGGTCAAGCATTGGCGCCCAAGTCCCGTCCTTCGCACACTGAGAGGGTCTTCATGAAACAAGATGCACAAAACCCAAGCGACAGTCCTTTCTTAGGTCCCTGCCCCCGGTGGCCTTTCTGTCCCCAAAACCTCTGTGCCCTCGCATCCATGTTCCGGGCCACCCCGTGGATGACGTAACCCTCTGAACGGCTTGGCTCCATGCTTTGCAGAAGTGGAGTCTCCCACGCGGGGCAATTGCAACAGGGATCCTGCTGTCACAAGCGCACCCTGCTCTCCTCAGCCTCCCCCATCCTCTGACAACCCCCAGGCGCGGCGCCTCATTCACGCAGGGCATCTTTCTTCTCCCCAGGAGGTGGAAGACCATGTGGCGTTCTTGATCACGGTGCCCACGGCCCTGGCGATTTTCTTTGCCATCTTCATCCTGGTCTGCATTGAGTCCATGTTTAAGAAGCTGCTGCGTCTCTTCTCGCTGGTCGTGTGGATGTGCCTGGTGGCCATGGGCTACCTGTTCATGTGCTTCGGCGGGACTGTCTCTCCCTGGGACCAGGTAAGGTGGCAGGCCAGCGGTGGCCTCTGGTCGGTGCCTGGGCTTGTGGGTGCACAAGTGTCTGGAAGGGGCCGTGTGACAGAGGACAAGGCTCTGACTGGAAAGAGCAGTGTTGCGTGTGCGTGGTCACAGGCAGTGGGGTCCCCAAGTGGGGCGGAGGGAACGACAGGTACCTGTGGGGGCAGGGAAAGGAGGAGGGGCTCCGGTGGGGCTTCCACACACCCTGGTGCTGTGACCTCGGGCCAGAGTGTTCTGGAGGGCAGCAGCAGTAGAGAGTCCTTCTGCCCACTAGGTTTTATCCAATCCAAGGGGTCCTGGTGGGGCAGCAGTGGGGCACTCACTGCTACCCACGAGGTCAGAGGTTCAAACCCACCAGCTGCCCCTGAGAAAACAGGCTGGATGGCAGGATCTTGTCAAACTCTGCAGCCTCAGAAACCTACGGGGTAGGTCCACTCTGTCCTAGGGGGTCGCTTCCATCAGGAATCTGCCTGGATGTACCAGGGACAGCCCAGCCTGGGCAGCAGAGGGGTGGGAGGATGCGGCACGCAGGGCTTGCAATGAGGCAGTTGGACAGTGGCTTCTCTGGGCCCGCAGTGTCCGCTGATGTACAGATTGGAGTTGGCTCTATAGACTGTGACAAAGGAGCTTTGCAGAAGTGACCAGCTTGAGGTCCACCCATAGAGGCCACCGCTGGTTCCTTCCCACAACCCTGCCTTAGGTGTGGCCCCGTGTGCCAAGGCTGTGCGGTGCCTGCAGCGTCTGCTGTGCCTCATGGAGGTGCTGGGCCAGGGTGCTTGCGGTGTTCTGGGGCTCAGGGTCATCATGGGGGCCAGGGTGCTGGAGGCTCCTCCTGAGGCCCTGGGTCATGAGGCTGAGCTCCTGTGGTTCCAGAGTTTGGTAGCTCAGCTCCTCACCTGTGCCCTGAGGACCACATACAGGTTTCCAGAATCCCCTGCGGCTGGAGCCTGGCTCTGTGAGCTTGTAACTCTCCACACCTAGCCCAGTCTTGGGTGCTTTCTCATTCCTGGTGCCTTCCTGCCCACTGGCAGGGCAGACTCACCTCCGACCACATCGGTCTGTGGGTCAGCCTCATTCTGTAACTGCCTGTCTGGTTGGGTTCCGGCTGGGGCGGGGAGTGTCCCATGTTCAGGAGAGGCAGTCCAACTGAGTGTCCTCCCACCCTGCCCCCGCTGGGTGGGTCTCCTCAGCGCCCTGCCCCACCAACTCCACCCTTCTCTAGGGAATGGTGTCTCCTATTTAAATGTCCAAAGAAATACTAGGAGGCTTCAAACGGTTTGTTGCAAATGGAGTTGAAAGATAATGTCTTTCCACAAGCTCTCTGAAGTCTCCTGAACAGACATGGTGGGGGTGAGACCGTCCGGCTTCTCTGGACAAGGCACGTCATGCCTGGTCACTTAGAGGGTCAGTGGAAGTGGGGGGGCCCCCTCCATGAGATGGGCTGTTACCACCGTGGATGGACGGACAGATGGACACCACAGTGACCACAATCAGGGGCGCAAACAGCATCAGCTGAGCGGCTGAGCCAGATGGGCAAGGTTCTGTGCAGGTGGGCAGGGGCAGCAGCAGCAGCCGGCTCGGTTTGGCAGCTCCTCCCAGCCAGCACCGAGCTCTGACGGCGGTCGTGGATCCAGGGCAGACTCTGTGAAATTGGCGGGGACACCAGAGGAGATGTGCAGAAGGCTGGGCATGGGGTGGGCCAGAAGAAGTCATGGCTGGTGCCAGCTGCCATAGGGGGTGGAGAAGGCCTGGAGCTGTTGGTGGTGCTGATACTGGAAGCGGAGCTTCCTGGAAGGTTCTGAAAATCAGTGGCAGGTGACCTAGGTCTGGTCTCTCAGCAGTGGAGCTGCACTGGACAGAGCAGTGATGAGTGAGACCCCGGGCTCTGCTTGCTTCTCTCTGGGCCCCAGTCCCGCCCTGCCTCAGCTCTGTCTCTTCACACCACAGAGGCCCTGCTGGGCTCTCCCTACTCCTCAGCTCCTCCCTCTCTGCATCACAGAGGAGGGCCCACGGCCTGGCCTGGCCCTGCCTGCCCCTCCATTGCAGGAGCCCTCGCCTCAGCCTCCCAGCACAAACCCCACACATGGGCACTTCAAAAGGGCAGACATTCCTGCCCGTGAGGTCACCTGGCATCCTCAGACACTTGACAGCCTCCCACGATGCCTGTGTGCCCCCCTGTGACCATTCTCCTGTCTTCTCAGTCCTTCCTGGGACCAGAAATGCTGAGGGCTAGGTCCCCCCGCAACTGCCCACGTGGCCTCAGTGACATGCAAAGAAGACCCTGTCCCCATCGCAGGCATCGGGGCAGCACTGCAACACAAATGTTCCCGGGGGAACCCCATCATCTTGTCGCTTCCCGCTTCCTGTGGGGAGCAGGGCACAGTTCACCTCACCTGGCTGTCTGTGCCCCCATCCCCTTGGCTCTTGCCCTTGGTTCGGAACCTTACACTTCACTCTTCTCTGTGGCTGCCATGCTATGTGGAGACTCCAGGTGGGGCGAATGATGATTAGATTGCATTTCTGAGATTTTGCTTTGGAAAACACTTATAATTTAAACCCCAAACCAAACTCAACCTACTGTCATCAAGTTGATTCCAGCTCTGAGCTGCCTTGCAGGATGGAGTTGAATGGCCCACTAGTGTTCCCAGGACTCCATCTGTCGGGGCAGACAGCCTCCTCCTCCTCCTGCACAGCAGCTGGTGGGTTCGATCCGCCAACCTGGTGGTGAGCAGCCCAAACACTTGGCCACGTGCAGCGGGGCCCTTATGTGTCACAGAGGGGACAGACAAGAAGGCGCTGTGTGAAGGGGTCCTGGCAGCCGCGTTCTCTCCCTGGGAGTCTCCACATCAGCAATCCTGAGCGCCCGTGTGTTCCTCAGAGACCTGGCTCCGCCCTCGGAAAATGAGTGCCAGTTTTATAAGATGTGCTTTGAGGTGCCCTAAGTGGTTTGATTTACAAGCGAGGTTTCCTCCTTCCTCTTTAATTGTTTGCTCTTGATACACACAAGTGTTGTTTCTTAAAGCTCATCTGTATCCTGCGATTTTGGTGAACCTAATTAGTTCCATTAGCTTATCTGAGAAGTTCTTAGGATTGCTGCATGCAGATAATTAAAATCTCCCTCCCTTTAAGCCCTCTTCTGATGGGATTTCTGAGGCAGACTTGAGGGCATGGGCGAGGCTGTGGGGCAGCTAGAATCCCACCCCGCCACCGAGGCCTTGGGGCTTGTTTCCTAAGATCTTCATTGTTGTTGGGGGGGAAGTCACGGAGCAAGTCAGGTGTCCACCCAACAGCTTACCAAGCTTGGTGACATGGCTAGCAGTCTCCCCCACCTCCATCTGATGTCACAGCACTCTTCCTACACCCCCCCCCCTCCATATGGGGCTTCCGACATTCCACCCACTCCTGCTTACCCTTCCTCCAGAGCTCAGTGGCGATACTGCCCCCTGGTCTCACGGAGTTGGTTCCCCTGAAGAGCATGTGCCTCCCTGGTCTGCTTGGCTGGGGTTGAAGCTCAGGCTGGATCCTGGCTCACAGGAGGGGAGACAAGGTTAACTTGGGGGAAGGGAAGGCACACACAGGAAGAGGAGGTCAGGAAAGACACTGGAGGGACACTGGACTCAGGGGTGTCAGAGGTACATTCCATCACACACACAGGCATCCCTGCAGGGACAGTAAGAGCAGAGCACACGGTTCCTTTGCAGGAAGGGGTGTGTGAGCACCACAGGGGTCCCTAGCCACTGAAAGCCACAGGTTCGAGAGGCCAGGCCACCAGCAGCACCTTTTAAGAACAGCCTGACCCTTGCCCCTGAGTTGTCAGCCCCTGGGGAGCAAGATTCTTCTCTGACCACAGGGGCCAGGCCTGGTGGTCAGGGGGGATCTGTGTTGGGGCCGATGCCCGCTGGCTGGGTGAGAGGGTCATGCTGAGGTGAGCCCATGTTGCGCAGAGAGGGTGTGAGAGCTGACCGGCAGCCCTGCAGCACATGACAAAGAAGTAGACTCCCCTCTGCCCCTCTGGAACCACTTCCTCTCCCTTTTCACATCAGTGGTTCAAACCCACCAGCCGCCCCTGGGGAGAAAGATGAGGCCATCTGCTCCTGTGAAGAGCGTCACTGTGGGAACCGGCGTGGGTCTCTGTGAGTCGGAATCAGCTACATGGCCGGGCTTGGGCCCTTCAGTTCAAAGCAGTATAAGGCCTTTCTGCCCGGCAAGCCTTCAATGGCATCTCTGACACGTGGCTAAGGTTTACATCTGTCCCTGTGAAAGCGTTTCTAACTGGAAAGAGTCCATCTAGCCTCTGCATGTCACCCCGACTTGGGGACCTCTGGGAGGCAGGGGTGGGGGCTGAGGATTGCCCAGAACTGCTTGTGTTTCTAATAATCACAGGGGGGCAGGTCAGTAGTGACCAGGTGCAGGAGAAAGTGTGAGAGAGGGGAGAGAGAGGGGTGGGGTGGGGGTGGAAGAGGGGAGAGAGAAGAGAGAGAAGGTGGGGAGAGTGAGGGGAGAGAAAAGGAGAGAGATAGAAAGAGAGAAGAGAGGGGAGAGAGAGAGAGAAAAAGAAACAGAAAGAGAGAGAGGAGTGGGGAAGAGGGGAGAGAGAAGGGGGGCAGAGAATGAGGGGGTCAGCTCTCTTTGCCTTGCCTGCTGTGTCTGCCCTGAAGGACCTGCCCCCACTCCCCTGCCCCAAGGCCCCAGGAATCAGGGTAGACACAGCCCCAGCCCTGGCCAAGCCCTGTGCTTTGGCTTAGGTGGAAGAGGCTGGCTCTGTGCCTGTCTGGGAGGAAGCTACGGGTTCATCATGGGGTTTTTGACCTCCTTGTGCAAACAGCTGCTCATTCTCGGCCTTCTGGGTGCTGACACAAAGGAAAGCCCTCCTCTCCCCAGCCTGAGCCATTAGGGCGGTCCCAGTGGGACCCTGCAAGGGTGAGTGGGGATGAGGGCCACCCTGGCCTCTCTCCCTGTGAGCAAGACCCCCGGGGTGGGGG